CACACACACACACACACACACACACACACACACACACACACACACACACACACACACACACACACACGCACTCTCTCTCTCTCATAGTTCCAAGACCACAAAAAACGAAAGCAACAGACAATTACAAACTTGCCGTCAGTCATCAACGTGTGGTCGTTCGAAAGCCTTGATGCTGCACAGCTCAAGCCTCAGCGTCCAACATTCAGGATGCAGAGATGGGTGGGTGTGTTTGTGTGTGTGTGTGTTATAGATTTTCCCCACAACAGCCCCAATTCCGCCCAGATGAATAGATTAACAATCAAAGCAGTCTTTGTCCTATTGCAGACAACGAGAGCATTTGAGATGTCCAACATATTAAAGCAATTTTATAATTAGACAGTTTTTTGGTTGTCCTTGGGGTACCCCTTTCATTGTTCTTGCAGCTTCCCTTTTATTGTGCCTCTTACTCACAAGGCTGCCCACGTTGATTGTGGTTGAGCGGCAGCTGCCCACATCCCCGTGTGCCTTCACGGCCCACTTGCACATTATTTCAGGAGGCAGAGTAAAAGGGAAGGTATGCTCCTGTGCATTTCTTTTCAGAGCTTCATACTCCTGTTCATTTCACTTCAGATCTTCAGCTTATACAGTCTTTGTGTCCGTCCTTCATCTTCATACTTCCGTTCATTTCATTTCTGATCTTCATATTGTATGTTCTCTTAATGATGCTCATTCGTGTGTGTATGTGTGTGTGTATGTGTGTGTGCGTGTGTGTGGGTGTGTGTGGGTGTGTGTGGGTGTGTGGGTGTGTGTGTTCTGTGTGGGTGAGTCTGAGTATGTGTGAGTGTTGTTATGTTCGCTATACAAAACTCACAAAATGACTCAGCTAGACTTTTTCGTCGGAGTTCCACCGACTCATCAGGAGGTTGAACCCCGACAGTCCGCCCAAGATGAACTGTACTGATGGCCAGGGACTTACCATGTGTGTGTGTGTGTGTGTGTGTGTGTGTGTGTGTGTGTGTGTGTGTGAGTGTGTGTGTGTGCATGTGCGCATGCACGTGTGTCTAACGTAGAGCGAAATCGTAGTCGAGCATAGCAGCGTAGAAGTTAGTCGAAGTCGAGCACTGTAGCCTAGGGTATGAAAAGCCGAAGTCGATTGGAGGGCAGGCGTGGTGTGGGGGCGGTTTTCCCGCATCGCCTCCCAAAATCAGGAAACGTTTGTTACGTGCGGCCACTTGGCGCCGGCCCGGCAACGCCCCGACAGTACCGGTGCTAGCACGGGGTCCCAGTACCTTGTGTGGTACCGGCTCTGGTGCGCGGGACGGTACCAAACGTGGTGCCGGCAGTGGCGTTCGGGACCGGTGCTGGCCCTGGTGATGCTTCAACTTCTAAGAAAAAACGATCAGCAGACGATCGGGACTGTCGCGCAGCAAAAGATCGGAGGGCCTCGATCGTCCGCTTGTCACAGGCAGGAACTTATCAGCGATAGTTATATATGTAGTGATTCAATTCTATTAATGGTTTTGAGTGCTTCCACGGTATAATATCACCACCTGGTTCGGTCTGAATTTCTCTCCAAGTCTACTTGCCTCCCGCATGTGTATGGGAACGTGTGAATGGCATGCTGGATTTCGTTCTCAATCAGGCACATAACAGCATGGCATCACCAGCATGCACACTGCCGACAAGCGTCGATTCTGTTTCAGACGGCGGCTTGTGCACACCGGCCACGAGTTTCAGTATCCTGGATGTGATCCTTCTCAGCCCCAAAGATTGCACTGAACAAGGCTGCATGTCACCAAACGATTTGTGCCGCAAGGCAAAGAGGACTGCACCTAACGATGTGCAGTACAAAACATTACACCGTACAGCACGAAAGGATGGCCCGTTGCAGCCCCATGAGGCGCGCGGATAAATGCGCAGTACCATCGCTGTGGCCCAAAAAAGCAAGTGGCGGAGAGGGGTTGTGTGTGTGTGGGTGTGTGGGTGTGTGTGTGTGTGTGTGTGTGAGAGAGAGAGAGAGAGAGAGAGAGAGAGAGAGAG